ACCACCACCCCCCTCTCCTGCAGTCGCGCCACGTGGGCGACGCGCTGTCGCTGGCGTCGCACCGCCCGGAGGTAGTGGCGGCGTGGCTGTGGTGCGGTGTCGTGACGACGGCGGGGTGCCTGCCTCGCCACGGCGCCTGCCCACCTCCTCCCGCGCAGCCGCGCAGCAGCGAGAGTGTTGTGTAGGTGCGGCTTCGCCGAGGCGCAGGTTCTGTCCACTCTCTCCGCGAGCGACGCGATGGTCATTTTCTCGACGGAGCCGCTCTGGGCGGCCGCCTTCGCGTGGTTCGCGCTGCACGAGGAGATGAGCCCGCTGGGCTACCTCGGCGGAGGCGTCATTGTCGCCGCCTGCATTCTCTCCTCCGGAGCACTGGGCCCTTCGGACTCCGCCCGCGAGGGCGAGATTGCGATCTCCCCGTTGCCCGAGGGCGGGGCTGCGGGGATTGCGCACAGGGGGGCGCCGGAGGTGGCGCCGGATGACCGGTGGAGGAGCGAGCTCGATGACGGCGGCGCCAAGGCGCGGTGAGGCACAGTTAATACAGTACGACACTTAGGGTACCCCTAGGGTTCTGAGGGCCGGATTTTTTAAAGACCTTTTAAGAAATGAGGAGGTTTGGGGGCTCAGATTGTCATTTAAGAGATTGCAGGCACGGGGGGTCTCTCTTTTAAGACCGTTTAAGAAAATCGGCCTCACCGGCACGCGTCGCTGCGCGGAGGCTGCGTTCCGCGCCGTTTTCTCCAATACTGCCGTCATTAGGCACAAACCCGCCTCTGAAGACACATCTGTAAGTCTGGTGCACTGGCAGGAGCCATACTCGCATAGGGGACGCGTGCCAGCTGACTGTAGCCAGCTTCCCCCGGCCTCCGGCGTCTACTGGGGAGCCTCCCGGACCATCGACCTCGGGAGCTCTCCCGCAGCGTTTAAGCGTTTAAGACCGTTTAAGGAATTGGCGGCCCAGCAGCTCTTAAAACCGGCCTAGGCCGGTTTTAAGCCGTTTAAGCCGCAGGCGCCCCAGGGCCCACCCTTTTAAGCCTAGGGGTACCCTAAGGTACGACACTCGCAGGCGCTCCACCTAGAACGCCGAACTCCACCCACCACCCTCTCGTTTTGAGGGGGCATCTCCGATCTCGTCGTCGTTCACAAGCCGAAGCCCTCGTGTCTGCGTGTCCTTCCGGTCGCGTTATGAGAAGCAATTCTGAAAGAGCCGTAAAAATCTACTATGTACTTAACATTACGGCTCTCTCCATTGAACTCTATCATTGTCGATTTTGCTCATTTTGCTCTCACAGTCACAGCACACAGAGGTCAGGGAGAAGCAGCGAGAGCCGAGACATGCTGACGAGACCAGACACAAGGTGAAGGCTGAAGGCTGAAAGTGAAGCCCTCGTTCCTCGCCCGCTTCCGATCGCCTCTCACAACACAAAGTCCTTGCCCGCCTGGGGGTGCGCCCTCCCCCCGACGTGGGCCCGTAGGCCCTGGTAGGAGCCACGCTCCGCCGGGCCGCTGCACTCGCCGTTGCAAAAGGCGACGAGGCCGATGGCGTGAGTGTAGTGGGCATACAGCCCCGCAGTCACGGCGAAGACAAACGTGTACCTCATAAAGGTCGTCCAGCCGCTCGCAGGCGGCGCTACCGTCGAGCCGTCCTCGGTGCGCTCGTCATACCGATCTTCGTCGCCCGCCTGCTCGAGGGAGGCTGCGTCCGGGCTGACCGACGTGACCGTCTCGCTGCCGTCGTCGTCGTCGTAGTGCACCCTCCCCACGCCCGCGAGCGGGTCGAGGTTCATCCCCACCTCCGAGGTGCGCAACCTATTCGCACGCAAGACATCCTGAAGAGGCGCTGTTCGTGCGAGGGGCGCGCCGTCCGGAGGGCGCGCAGCCTCGATGACGCGTCGCCCAGCTGAGCCTGGAGCGCCTACCTCGGCAGCACCGCCACCTCAGAGGCCTTGGCATCAGGTCAGGGCCAGAGCCAGAGCTAGCGTTCGGTTCGAGAAGCTAGGGCCGGATCGCGCGCCTCGACAACGTCGCCGGCAGACGCCTCGCCCTCGCCCTCCGCGGCGGCGACGTCGAGAGCCACCTGCAGCGATCCCTGCGTGCGCCTCGCCTCCACCACTGCCACTCGATCGGGTGGCAGCCCCAACGCATCCCGTACCTCGAGCTCGAACGCCGTTGCGATGCGGCCGCTCTGGACGGCGGAGCCTGCTGCTCCCTGCCCTTCTCGCCCCCCTCCCGATGCTACTGCTACTGCTGCTCCTCCCGCTGCCACCGCCTACCTGCACGGCGCAACTGTGCTAAGCCGCCCTGTCTGGCCCTCATCGACTCGCTCGCTTATCGCACCGCCGGGACCGCCGAACGCAAACGCAAACGCCGACGATGTCTTTGCGGGCACCGTCCGACATCCGCCATCCTCACTGTTCCCATCAGCCGCGCACAAAGTGCTGAGACCAGTGGCTCGGCGCCCGCCCCCGATTCCGCCTACGGTTCTTGCGGAGCTCAGTTGCAGCGGCCTCCTCTTTCGAGCTCCGCGCCAGCCGCAGAAGATGGTGGGTAGGCAAGTGCTCGAGCCTCCGCCTGTCTCGGCCTCGCTAAGCCTGCCCATAGGGATAGGCTGGCCCATAGCGGCTTCCATAGGGGGTCAGCGTCATGGTCAGGGAAGCCGAGAACGGCGAGAAGAGTAAATGAATAAAAGAGAGCCGTATAGCTACGGAGGCTTTAGACACGGGGCATTTCGACTAATCACTAAAAAAGACGTGAAAAGTCTTCCGCCTTACGGTACGGGGTCCACGTCCAGAGGCGCAGAGGGACTTGGTGGGCCAGAGCCCAGAGCGCAGAGCCACAGAGGTAATGCACGCGGGCAAGATCGAAGTTAAGGTTCACAGTAGAAAGGGATTTTTTCTTTACGAAAATCCAGTAATACGCGTGTGGGATGCTGCACGACGGATTTATATGCCCGCCACGGGCTCACAGCGCCCGCGCCTTGCGCAGCATCGGCACGAGCTCGCCGCTCGCCACCAGCCCGGCGAGGCCGCCCGCGGGCCCGCCGGTTGTGTAGCCGCCCACCCACTCGCCGCCGATGAAGACGTGCGGCAACGAACCCTGCCCATACAGCTTGCGCAGCTCGACCCGCGTGGCGGAGCCCTGGGCGGCAGTGGGGGCGCACACTGGTGGGGGGCGGCGGTGGGGGGCGTACATTGGTCTCGGGGCGATATCGGGTCATCTCCGGCAATCTCGCCTTGCCGCCGAGCGCGAACCACTCCGCTCCCAACTCGACGTTCTTGAACTGGCAGCCTAATCTCGGGCAATCTCGGGTGATATCGGGGAGCGTTTTCACGCTCGGTGTCCTTGAGCTGTCAGCCTGTCGACTCGAGGATGGCGACCACCTCGGACGAGAATGGGGAGAGGCCGTAGGTGTACACCACGACGGGCGCGGACGAGAGTGTGGAGGCGATCTCTGCCCGCACCTCCTCCGGGTCGTAGCTGCCGAAGTTGGTCAGCGCGGCCTGCGGAGGTGGGAGGCGAGCTGTGCGGGTGGGTGTGGTGAATCCGTGTGCACCACTGCCCGAGCGCCGGCGAAGTGGGAGTGTGAGCAGTGTGGCGTGGAGCGCCTGCAAGTCCGCCTCCACAGAGAAGACGGGTCCGAGCAGCGGCATCGCCTTGCCGGCCGCAGAGATGGCGGCCGTCGGCTCGCGGACCTCGATCACAGGAGGCTCGGCGCCGGCCGGGACGATCTTGCCGACAAAGTCGCTCCACGCCTCTTGCACCGAGGCGATGGCATCGTCCGGCTTCTCGAGGTTCTACGGATGACGGCATGTGCAGGGAACAGGGCGTGACGGCACGCAGGCGGCACCCAGCAGCGGCAGCGGCTACACAGCACTGCTACTACTAGGTGCGTACCGGAAACGCATCCTTCAGAAACTTGGGCATCATGACTGGTGGGCTGGCACGAGGGGCTTGCACGACGGCTGGCGGCGTGCCGCCGACGACGAGCGCAGAGGGCTGGAGCGCGAGGGCAAGCATGTGCATGTGCTAGATTTTTGTGAAGAGCGATTCGGAAAGTGCCTCGAACGGGAAAAAGAAAATGCACGCGCAAGTCGTCGCGCGTGTGAAAGGCGTTCCTGTACAACCCAGACCCGAGCGGGTGCGGCAGGACTGTCTGTTTTGAGTGGGCGCGCAGGCGCAATCCGGCAATCATCCCGGCGATGCGGTTGGTGTTTGGTCGACGCAGCTTCCTCCGTCTGTGCAGCGCGGACGGACCGCTCCAGGACCCTCGGGCGGCCGGACCGAGCGACGCCGACGCACCGTGGGACCCGCTCAGCCTGGAGCCGCCCGGCGAGGACGCCGACGGCTACATCCGGTCGTGCTGCGGCGGCGCCCAAGGGCGCGCCTTCTCAGGGATGTGCACCACCGGAGTCAAACACGAGATCGACAACATTGTGCAAAAGAAGAACCCGACTACCCGCTTCGTTTCGTTCATCGACGACATGGTTCAAAACGACACCGTGGCAGAGGCCGTCAAGTCTTACTGCGGAGAGGGCGGGACACTCGAGGTGCAAAAAGATGTCGCTGGCAACCTCGACAACGAGGAGAAGTGCATCATCTACTCTCCGAGCGGCGACCTCGACTGCGTACCCCCCTTCATGGTCGGCTCGCCGCACCACCGAGACGAGGACGGGAACCTCACCGGACGCGAGGCTTGCTTCAAAATCGTCGGAACCTATCTCGGCGACACAGAGGCTGCCTCGGAGGCGATTGGCAAACGACTCGCCAAAAACCTCCGTCCGCTCGACTTCATCGACACGCTCGAATGCACCGAGGGCATTCAGAACGTTGGACACCTCAAGTACAACCTCATCACCCGTCAGGCCTGCCCAAAGACGAAGTACATCTGCTCCGTCACGCCACCAGAGATCAGCGAGGGCCCGGCCATCGACGGGAGCAACCGGATCCGCAAATCGTGGGAACTACTCACGGAGGCAGAGGATACTCCTGCCAAATACAAAGACCTGGGTTGGAGGCAGGCCATGCTCCCTACCATCACGGGAGGCTCCGGCGTCGACACGGGCGTCACATCAGTCGGCGTGCCCAACGACACGGGTGGGGGCCGCACGGGCGTGCGCGGCCCCGCCGAGGCCTACTACATCTCCCTCCTCAAATGCTGGTCAAAGCTTGTGGCCTGCAGCCCGGACCTTGCCGAAGCCGAGCGCTCCGGCGGGTACGGTGCACGAGACGCCGCCGTCAACTCGTACAGAGCCGCGCTCTCGAGGCGAGACGAGGTGGCCTCCATCCGAGCCGCGCGCGACGACAACATCTACTACACCTTGCGCGGCGGCAAGATCTCTGAGTTCTACCCCAAGGGCGTCAGCCTCCCCACTTCTGAGTCTCTTCCAACACCGGAGTCAGTCATCGATGGCACTTGCAAATCAGGAAGCCCGTACGCGCGGGCGCTTGCTGCCATCGAGACTATCTGGAACTGGTTCGATCTGCAGAAGGAGTGGCGCGCCCTCGACGACTACACGGCAGCCAACTGGCAGCCAGGCGACACCAAAATACGTCTACGCGAGTCCATCCGCTACGTCTCAACTGCGCAGCCTTACGCGGGGCGGTGGCTCGACACAAAACTCGACGGCAGCAATGCCACATGCATTCCAGACGACATATTCATCGGCGAGCTTCAGCGCCGAAACGGCCTTCACCTCTCGCAGTGCCGCTCGACTGTCACGCGGGCACTCGAACTTGGGGACACAGTCGGTGGTGCAAAGGACTACCATGGCGACTGGTTCCTCAACAACGCCGCCCGGCGGCGCCCACACGACGGCGTACTTCGCGCCTGGTACGATTGTGTCCACGCCGTCTCCGTCTCCCGGCCCGTTATGGGAGATGCCGAAAAACCAGAACTCACCAAACAGTTCAACGAGGGCTACAAGACCGACCTGGCTGAACCGGGCGAGGCTCCCGGGGGCAAAGACGAGATCAGTGAGGTCAAACTTTGGACCCCCCTCCGGGGTGGCTTGCCCGTTGGGGTCGGCCGCGCCGACACCGGAGGCAACCCCGGCTCCGTTGGAGACAAGTTCGCCTTCGGCAACACCGAAGAGCGCGCCCGCCTTGCAAACATGGGCTGCAAGCAACGCGGGTTCCGTGGTCAACGGGCGTTCGACCACACCACCGGCCAAGGCTACGTCAAGTCACAGCGTGGCCACTACCATGATGGGATCTTCACCAAACGCAACAAGTTCAACCTGCTTCTCCACGAGACATTCGGCGGCGGCTTCTCGCCGCCAGCAGTTGCAAAGATCAACCGCCTTGCGCGCAAGGCTCAACGCTCGGGCGTTGACCGCACCGCGTACCCTCCCCACTCCCGCCTCTCATTTGTGTCACACCACGCGGAACGCATCTCCATCGCTTCGGTGAAGGGGGTGAACCGTGCCATCCTCGATCGCCGTGCAAAGCTCGCTTCCGAGCTCTCACGCCGCGCGTAGGGCCCTTAGGGGCCTAGAGAACACAACCCCCCTCTCTCTTTTCTCCCAGTAAGCTATAAGTACGTACGTACAACAAACCTAAAACCCACTGGAGGTCGCGACAGACCGATATAAATAAAAAAAGCAGACCTCGCGCGCGCTCGCCGATACAGTCTGGGAATACCTTGGTTGAGCGCGATGCAGGCTTTTGAGTGGACGGTGAGCTTGCGGCCGCCCGCACGCGCCCGCATGTGACGGAAATTGCCCCGGGTAAGCTCGAGTGCCCGCCTCGTACCACGCACCCGCCACGGAGCACGCACAGTCCGCGTCTGGACGCACCGCGGCCTGCGCAACAGCCGCGCAAGCGCCTTTCGGACGACACCGCCTTTGCGCCGCTTTCGCAGGTGGCACGTCGCCGGGGCGCGGGTAGAGGCCGGTCCATCCGATAGTTGGGCGTCCGAGGCACGCCCGGCCAGCTCGACAGCGGCCAGTTCAAGTGTTATCTTCGAGCTTTGATACCGCTCTCCGGTGCGCCTCTCTCGCCGTCGCCCATGCGAGCCGCCGCCCCGCCGCGCGACCCCAGCCGGCCGGAGCCGCCCCGATCCACCGCCCGCCCTCCCGTCACCGCGCCACGCTTGCCTGGCCCGCCTCGGCACCGTCACGGCGCGCCTGCAGCGGATAGCGGCGGCCCTCGTCGCCGCAGCGGCACGGCAGCACGCACCAACGCTACCTGTGCCTCGCAGGTACCGGAGCGAGGGCGCCGTCGCTGTCACGCGCTCCTGCGCGGACCCGCGCGCCGCGTGCGCGCGCCGCCGCGTGCGCGCGTCTCTCGCTCTCGCCTCATCGCCCACTCTCGACCGGCAGGCGGCTCTCCCCGTCAAGAGACGAGGCCGCCCGGTCGTGGAGCGGCGATTACTGCGGCGATTACTGCGCCAGCCGAGTTTTCGCCGCAGCGTGGCGGGACGACACGCGCACGCTTGCGTCCGGGAACGCGTGTCGTTCCGTTCGCGACGGCCATTACGGTCACTTGTGCATGTCGTCTCCGCCTGCTTTTTTTGTGCACACACGTATCCGTGATCGCGTGACTGCGATGATTTTGCACTACACTCTCTCCCGCCGCGTCTTGATGCGCAGTCGCTTTGCACGTTCCATGCGTGCCTCCACGCGCGCGCACACGGCCGCGCCCACAGCTGAGAATGGAGCACTTGTCACCGGGCGGGGCACGCGCGGCAAGTGGCTCCAGGTCGGCACGGTTCTCGTACAGGGGGCTTGCAAAATATAGCAATCGAATGGCGATGTTGTTGCTCCTAGAAAAAAGCGAGCCCCGCTGGCGCGCTCCCCATTCCTCTAGCAGCACACGATAGGCATCACGAGTCGAAAGCCCTGTGTGTGGTATCCGCACGTTGGCACTCCAGGTCCCAGCCTTGGCCATGAAGATGCAGCTAGCCCAGTCGCGTGGCTCGAACTGCATCGACTGTAGAGCTGCGTCGCATTCGCGTCGTAGCTGCGCGTCTCCCGCCAGAGCTGCATCGTAGGCGGCCTTGGTGAAGTCAGTCTCGACGAGGAAGATCCCGAGCCGGTTCTCATGAGCAGGCTCGTCTGCGCGCGAGGGTGCGGGGTGAGAAGCTATCGCAGTGCGCGGCAGCGCTGCTGAAGAGAGGATTCCTTCCGTGGCCCACGCGAGCCACGACCCTAGATGCGCCGGAGGAGTCATATGAGTGGCGACGTCTGACGTTGCTGTCACGCGTGTGGTCCGATTATGTTTTCGCGGCGGGCACCGTCCCCGCACCATCGCTCCGTTTCACGCGCGGGCTGTTGCAACGCTTTCTTCTTACATAATGTTCTAACTAGATTCGCCGTACAAAGTCGGCGCCGCGACGACCAATGGGAAACATGCTCGTGGACCGGCTGGCGTGCGTCCGTGCGGGCTCCGCCCACCATGCGCAGCTGCACGCGGCCGCGCACCGCGCCGCTCCTCCGCCTGGCCGCGTTCCTCGCTGCTCTCACCGCTTCTCTCGCGACTGGTGCAGCGCCCTCTCCGGTGTGCAAGCCGGACTGAGGGGGAAGAGGGGCGCTGGAGCGGCGGCGCCGCGGAGGGCTCACCTCCACTCCCTGCCTGCTCTTGCAGGCGCGGCCTCTCTTGGGCGCCTGCTGCGTGCCCGGCTGCAAAAACCACTACCCGCCGAGCGGCAGCGGCGCCCACTGCAACAACAACCTTTGCGACGCATACGACGCTGGCTCCTCGCACTTCCTCCTGCATCCGCGTTGCTCCTCCCCGGAGAGGTGTCATCGCAGCCTGCGACCCGCCTCGCAGGCAGTGGCAACGGTCTCGATCGAGCACGGTGGACAAGGCGGCCGGGTCGGCCTCGCTGAGTACTATGCGCTCCCCAGCGTGGTGACGGTCTCGGGCGAGCCTGTGGCTCTACGGCTGTGTAATAGCCATCAGACATGGCTCTCGAACGGCATCCGCCCCACTCCCAGGAGGAGCGGCGGCGTGCGGTGGGACCACTGGGGACGCTGGACGTGCAGGCCCACGGCGCTCGATACCAAGGATGACTCGGTCCCCAGCGGCTGGCACTACCGCACGTCAGCGGGAGAACGTTGGTCCATGCGGCGAGCCGAGGCGCAACTCGCCGCGTTCACTGCGGTGCTCCGCTCCGAGTTCCCGCCGCTTGCTAACGACGGGTTGCGGGTGGTGACGGACCCGTTGCTCGCCTTTCTGGAGACGCGCATGCAGGCGCATCACGCGAGCATGAACCCAGCCCCGTGTCCAGTCGTGGATGCCCTCGCCGTGGCCCCGACCTAAAGCGCATGAAGCGACCCGACGTGGTGCAGGAGCTCAAGCGGCGCAGCTTCGACACGAGCAGCCTCCCGAGCGGCAAACATGCTGAGGGCCGCGCGCCGTCCTTGCTGACGGTGTATCTGATGCCTCTCCTCGAGGCGGAAGCACGTGCGGCGGCGACCCCCGGGGTGCAGAGGCAGGTGGCCACGGTGCAAGCCGTGATTGGCGGTGGCGGGGTCCTCGCCGCGGTTGTGGGGGGTGACGCGGCGGGGGAAGATGAGGAAGAGGAGGCTGTCTTCGACGCGGACGAGGAGGAGGAGGGCGAGGACGGGGACGACGAGGACTGGACCGAAGCCGCCTGCGCCAAGGACAAGGCCGACTGGGCCGAGCTCACGGAGGAGGAGGCGGGGAGCGCCGCGGCCCTCGGTTGGGCGGCTGCCACGTGGGACGCAGATGAGCAGCCTCCGGTGTATTCGACGCCTTGGGCGGGGCTGACTGCGGCGCAGAGGGCCGCAGCCGAAGCCCTCGGCTACGGCGAGGCGGACTGGTACGACGACGAGGATGCCGGCGAGGTGGGGGGAGAGGACGGCGACGACGGCGACTCCACTGGCCACGAGGGCGGCGGCGGCGGTGAGGACGACGACGATAACGATGACGACGAGGATAGCGGAGGCGGCGGCCGCGGCGGTGGCGGCGGCGACAGTCCCCGCAGCGACCACGAGGACGACCAAGGCGGAGCCGGTGGGAGCGGCGCGAGTGGCGCCACACAGTCGATTGCTCCTGCTGAGGGGACCACACCGGCGGTCGCTCCTCCCGCTGGAGGCGCCGGCGGGGCGGGTGTGGTGCGGCGGTCGAGTCGACCGCATGCACCGAAGGCGCCCGGCCGGCGCCTCGAGTGGCTCGTGCTAGGTCTCATCGCCGCTGCCGCCCTACCTGTTGCGCACCGCGTGCAGTCGGCCTCGTCGGCCGCTCTGCTGGCAACTCTGGTGCTAACGCTCGATTTTCTCGAGCGGAACGTGCAGGACATCTGGACAGAGGCGGGAGCCCTGCTGGTGTCTTTGTGCTGGGCAGTGTACCGCAAGTCGCGGCCGGCGCCAACCGCCCTGACGCGGCGCAGCGGGCTCGCACTGCTCTTTGCCATCTCCTCGGCCCTCCCTCGATTGGGGGCGCTAGTGCTCGGGGACTGTCCAAGCGTGTTCTTTTGGGCGAGGGCGTGCAGCTTGTGCGCAACCTCGGCTCTGCAGGAGCATCTACTCGGCTCTGTCGCATGGAGCCCGCGACTGCACAGTCTACGAGTCGGTCTCGCAGCAGCATCGATGCTTTCTAGCCTCGGCCTCCCGTCTCTCCCCTTGCCGGAGCTCGCCGAGCGTCTCTGCGCCGCGGTCGATGCAGTGACCATCGCGCTAGCAGTCGCCGCTGCGGCGGAGCGGCTGAGCCGCGCGCTCGCCCTGCGCTACCAGCTCCGTCTCCCCTTGGACTGCGCACACCACGCCCGGCGGGTGGACGCGACGCTGTTCTGTGGCCGCCTGTTCTGGGTGATGGGGAGTCCGAGCTTCGTTACGACCGCATGGTGGGTGGACGCAGCCGACCTTGCTCTTCGCATCGCGACACTGCGCGCCGCCGCTGCGGTGTGCCCGTGGATCGCTCAAGCCGATGGCGAGGCGGACGTTGAGCTGGATGAAATCTAGGCACTAGGGGACGTCAGGAGAGAGAGTCGGCCTGCGCGCAAGCGTGTGTGTCGGGTAGCGCGCGAGCGCTTCACGTGTTGCATGTATTCAGAACAACGTGTGCGCACACAGGAGAGAAAGCTAGCAATAAGCAAACACAAACTCGGGCGCATCGCACACGCCGTACTTCACGTCCGGGGAGTCTGAGCAGCGAAAGGTATCCGCAGGAAAGGACACCGGATCGAGGTATCGCGGCAGGACACGGACCTTGCCGCACACACAGCACCATCGCAAGTGCACATACCGCATGTGGTGCGTTTTGGGAAGGGCCTCAATGGCGAGGGGCTCCCAGCGCCGCGGAGGGGGCGCTGGCGCCTCCGAGCCGGCCGGCCTCCACACGCAGAGGAGGAAGGGGTGCGGGTAGGCCTGCGGCGCGTGCGCTGCGTACGGCCGATGCGGGTTGGTGAACTTGAGCAGCGACTGCAACATGTACACCTGCGGGCGGGAGACGCGAGAGTGAACACGCGCGCCCGCAGGGGTGGGCGAGGAGCTGGGCGCTGGCGATGGAGGGGGCGGGAGAAGCGATCCTCGCTGGCGTCGAGCACGTAGCGCGCGAACCACTCCTGGTTCGTCCACGAAGGGAGGAGCGCGACGAGCGTGCACCCGCGGACGCGGACGTCGCCGTCGACGAGCTTGCGCAACACGGGTAGGATGCCGCCCACGCCGCACCCCTCGCCCTGCTCGGCATAGGCTGGGTTGCAAAAGATGACCCTGTCATGCAGTAGCACGCGCAGGACGCCGTCCTCCTTGGTCGCGTAGTCCGGGGCGAGCGCGCTCATCGGCGTGGCCATCGCGTCGTAGTCTACATCCCATCGGCGTCGCACCTCCACCGCCACCTCCGCCGGCGTCTCCCATTGTTGGTTGGACTGCACCGAGTGAGCGACAAACAACGTACCACTGCCGTCGACGAGCCAGTCCTGTTTGCCTGGCCTGCGACGTGGGACGGAGCGACGCGTCGCGGGCGAGCACCGGCGACAACCGCGGCCACTCATCAGGCGAGCCTGGGCGAGGGGAGGGTAGCGAGGAGAGAGGAGGGAGGAGAGAAGTGTGCGGCCAGCCCGCACCGGATGGAGAGCGGATGGCGCTCTGAGAGCGCGAAGAGGAGCTCGTTGACGGCGTCGTAAGTGCGCGGCAGGACATTGCGCAGCGGCACGGCCGACGCGCCCGACTGGCGCCTCCCTCGCGGCCGAGGCCGCTGTATCCTTGGCGCGCGCAGCGCGAGCGGCGCTGCGTCCGGCTCAGCCTCACCTACGAGGCAGGGCGCGTCGGGGCGGGTATTGTGAGCGCACAGGTGCTGAGTAAAGGTAGTAGAGCGGCCAAATTCCAAGTCTCGTCGCCATTGTCGAATGTTATCTTCGCAAACTACTGGCCGACTTGCGGCGTCAGCCGGGCGCGGCTCTCTCGGCGCACCGCCGTCGGCAGAGGTGAGCTCAAACAGCGGCGACACCTCGCACTCAGCTCGCGTCCGCACCCGCCCGGCCGCCGGCGAGGGTGTCGCTGGCTGGCCGCGGCGCTGGACCCGCACAACGCGAGCCATCGGCGGCGACCGGGTCGAGGGTGAAATCGGCCACTCAAAACGGCGCGCTCAACCAAGGTATTCCCAGACTGATACAATTGTAGAGCTCGTGTGCATATGTCATCTCTCGCTGCGCTGGCGCTCGCCGGCGCCGGCGCCTGCGCTCGCGCCGGCGGCGGCCGCGCCCTCGGGCCGAGGCTGCATGTGCCTCAGCCTCTCGCCGCCGGCTGCGGCGTCGGCCTACCCGAGGCGCAGCGGCACTACCTCTTCTCGGTGATGCGGCTGCGCGAGGGCGGCCGCGCGCGCCTCTTCAACGCGGACGACGGCGAGTTTGAGGCCGTCGTCGACGCCATCGGCAAGCGCGAGTGCCGCGTCTCGCTGCTGTCGCGGCTGCGGCCTCCTCCGGCGCCAGAGGAAGGCGGAGGGCCGACGCTGCTGTTTGGCGTACTCAAGGGCGCCCGACTGCCCACGCTGGTCGAGAAGGCGACCGAGCTCGGCGCCGGAGCCCTCCAGCCGGTCGTGTGCGAGAGGTGCGCCGCCCTAGAGGGAGTACTGACGAGCGCTCGAGAGGACACGTACTCAGCTGCATCCGCTCAGCGGTATTCGCTTTGTTCGCTGTATTCGTCTCCCTTGCATGCGCGCGGTGCTCCGAGTAGCTGTGTATTCACATAGGTCCGCCGCCCTGTCTCTCCACCTCAGCTTTGAGCAGCGTCTCTTCACTCCTCCAGCTGTGAACTAGGTGCGCCGCCCGCTCTCTCAACCTCGACCGCCTCTCCGCCATCGCGACAGAGGCGCGGGCGCCGCAGCGGTGGAGCGAGCTGTGCCCCCTTCCCCTCACGCCGCCTGCGTCGAGTAGGCGGCCGAGCAGAGCGGCCGGCTGACTGTGCCGGTCCTCTCGCCGCCGCTGCGCCTCGAGGCGAGAGCATGAGAGAGAGAAAGAGAGGCAGAGAGGCAGAGGGAGAGAGGCAGAGGGAGAGGAGGCACAGAGAGAGGCAGAGAGAGAGGACTGGAGGGGGGCGTGGGTTGGCCCGAGGCTGGCCCGGTGATGCACAGGCGGCGCTCGCGGAGTGGGATGCGTCTCGACCGCTCTGGGCATGCGACGAGCGTGGCGGAGGGACGCCGCTTGCGAGGGCGGCGAGGGAGGCGGGGAGCGGCGCGCTGCGATCTGCCGGCTTGCTGGTCGGTCCGGAAGGCGCGCTCTCTCCGCTCTCGCTCTCGCTCTCGCTCTCGCTCTCGCTCTCGCTCTCGCTCTCTCTCTCTCTCTCTCTCTCTCTCTCTCTCTCTCTCTCTCTCTCTCTCTCTCTCTCTCTCTCTCTCTCTCTCTCTTTCCCTCCCTCTCTCTCTCCCTCTCCCTCTCGCTCTCCCTTTCTTCTCTTCTCTTCTCTTCTCTTCTCTTCTCTTCTCTTCTCTGGGCAGGATGCGCCTCGACACCTCGAGACGTGACGCCCGAATCTGCTGTGACTGTAGGCGGCTTCTCGGCGGCGGAGTTCGAGGCGGTCACCGCCACGCCGGGCGTCGCGTTTGTCTCGCTCGGGCGCAACATTCTGCGCGCAGAGACGGCAGCGCTGGCGGCGCTTGCGGTGGTGGGGGCGGAGGAGGAGGCGGTGGGAGGGAGGGCAGGTACGTGACGTGTTCAGTATTGTATCCTTGTACGTCAGCGACGGTGCGAGTGTCAGTGAGACAGTTTTGACAGCGGGCGAGCAGGCGTCGGGCGCACACGGACGCACACGCCCGCCCCGCCCCGACAGCCGCGCCAGCACAGCGCATGACCCCCGCGCCACCCGCCGCGCGGCGCGCGTGACCGCGCGCGTGCCGCATGGCAGGCGCGCCACAGGCACAGCAGCGCGCCAGCGCGCAGCGATGACAGGTGAGCGTGACACGACAACGGGCAGGTTCACGCGCGCCGTCACCAACAATCTGCCATTTTCCATCCCTGCCATGTCCCATCCCCTACGTAGAGCGGGTCCGTCGCCCGGCGTGCGGACTCGACCTGCTCGTCTTCGTCCACTTCAGGCTCTCGGTCCTCTCCTCCGACTCCGACTCCCCCGGCTAGTTCCCGGAGGCTCTGGCGGCCAACCTGCACCGCCGGCAGGGGACGGTCTGGCTGGCGGGACAGAGCGGCGCCGCACAGCCTCCTCCACCGCCTCCAATGTCCGGCCAGCCACGTCGATATCGCTGATCCGTTTCTTGAGTGCCGCCCGCTGTGCAGCCACCGCTGCAGACTCCTGGAACCAGTCGCGTTTGGCAAGAAGAAAGGCGCGGAACTCAGGCGACTTCAGGCTGCGCAGCAGCGGGACGAGCACAGACTCAAATGCCGCGTCAATCAGCTTGCTCTTAGCGTTTGCGCAGGTCAGATCGGGCGGGATCGGAGGGGGGTCTGCACTCCATTGGTTGATGCGTGAATTGGCGAACTCCGTGGCGTAAGGTGCAAGCTTGCAAAGGCGTTTGATGCGCAAGGGGGGAGTGTCGTCTGCCATGACATGTTGTAGCACGGATGAGATGAGCCGCTGTGCATCGAAAGCATCGATGTTATCTCTCCACAGCTTTTGGCTGTCGACCCGATCCTCTGCATTGCTCAAGCGAGAGTGACCACGAGATCCACCCGAAAACAACGAAGCGGCGGCGGGCGTTGCGGCCGCCGGCGCGCCGAACAAGCCTCCCGCCGCCGCCGGTGCCGGGGCCGAATGGAACGGAAAAGGTGTCGCGGCCCCTGCAGCAGGCGCTGCCGCTGTCGCAGCAGCGTCAGCCTGGGGCCAGTGCAACCAAGGTGACACAGCGTCAACGGCAGCGCCAATGCCCGTTGCCATCGACGCATTGTACAGCTCGCTCTCCAGAAGCAGGCGCATCACCTCGGAGGCTCGCTTTTGCACAACATCAGCATCCTCCCTCGAGAGTGAGGTGCCGAAATCACCAAGCTGCTTCTGCGTGGCCTCCTTGAGCGCTATCAGCTTTCTCTTTGCCTGCGGGACCCAGACCTCGCTCATATGCGTCTCAAAGAGGTCATTCAGCGCGTCGAGTACACTTAGGATGCCAAGCGGCTTGCCCCGTAGCCCCGGCTCCTTTGCCTGCCACTCCTCGAACTTCGCGCGCTCTTTTTTGACAAGATCAGGCAGCGAGTAACCATCCACTTGATTCTCTTTCGGTGCTTCGCGGTTGATGACCGGAATCAGAGCCACCGGCTCGCACCCAACCTCATTCTTGGGATCGGCCAGCCTTCGAGCGAGACCAACCAGCCCGTTGCTCTGCACCCAGAGGTCTGTCCGCGTCGTGACCACAATCGTCTTGGAAAAGGCTGGTCGGGCGACCGCATGCTCGCTGATCTCCTCGAGAGCCCTTGATCCGCGCAGAGCTGCCTCGTTGCCATTGATGACGCACAGCACGAGAGTGTTCGGATCGCGCAAGTAGCGGCGCGTGAGCTCAAGCGTCTGCTGCCGGACATCTGCGGGCATGCTGACGATGCCAGGGAGGTCAACGAGCGTCAGAGTCGGGACGTTGCACGCTCGAAGCTCAATCTCGATCTCGATGTCGGTGAGCACGCTCCGCCCATCATCTTGTCCATGCACCTGCGCGATGAACTCCTTGATGATGCGCTGGATGAAAGTGTGCTCGACACCATCGACCTCGAAGCGTTGCTCTGCGCGACTTGCCCCCCTCGAACCGTTGATCATGGCGACTTGCCCGTTGGATGTGTTCAGGCAGCGAATCATGACTCGGCTCTCGTGGGGCCGGTGCATCATCTTTAATCGTATCGCCATGCGCGTGCAGAATCCCTCAGCGCGAGGAAAGAACGCTTGCATGGCGATGCGCTCCATCAGGGAGCTTTTGCCGGCACTCTCAGACCCGACAACCACGATCTGGGGGAGCAACAGGTCGTCGGCCAAGCCTCGTGGAAGTTCCTCCATCGCCTTCAAGATACGGCCGTAAGCACCGCTCCGCAACGTCGCACCGATGCTGCCCTCACCAGCGAATGCGTCCTGGCTCACAGCCTGACGGCGCAGCTCCTGATCGTATTTAGCGCGGCGAGATGGATCCTGGAGCGTGTCCCAGGCCTGCTCGATCTTCTGAAAGATCTGCGTTGCCCGCTCGTGGCTGTTTCTGTGCTTGTCCGGATGCCAGCGGACCCGCAGCTCTCTGTGCTGGGCCGCTATCTGCTCATGGGTCGCATTCGGCGGAACATCCAGCACTTCGTACGCCGTTGCTGCTGGGTTGAGGACCCGTGCAGCCTCTCGCTCCCGGTCCTGCGTGACACGCGGTAATCGCTCAGGCGGTGTGAAGCGCGCGTGTCTGGGCGGGCAACGCACCGCCATGATGCATGCGCTGACTGGATGGACATGGGGGGTGGACGGTCGACTTGCGGCGATGAGCATCACGCGAGACCCGGAGATATGACTGAGAGCTAAGCCCAGTTCGACGATCGGCAGCCTCACCGAGGGTCGCTCGCGCCGCTGTGCAGCGAGAGCCAGGCTCGCCCGGCGAAGGTGACCAGAGAGTGCTCAACAAATACCAGAAAAAATCAGGGAGCCTCAGAGAGTGCCACTGCCATCACCCAGGCCGTGGGAGCCGATCGGCTGCGCCGAGGACAGCTCCCTCAGTGTGCTCCGCGGCTCACCAGTGTGCGCCGCGGCGCCGTCCAGCCACTTTGGCGGCCAGCCACCGGTCGAGTTCTTCGACTCTGGAGGACAGAAAGGTACCGTCTGAAAGGTATTTTCATGCTCTATTGACTGGCGAAAAAATCCCCCGCCAACTGTTTTCACAGCGGGCGTGATTCACAGGTAAGCATGAGCAAGCAGGGCCACCCGCCATCCCGACCTTTGGGCAGTCGGCCTGCGTACACACACACACATACACATATATGGCACCCAACCGGGCCGCCGCCGCCGTGCAGAGCGGCGGCGCCGCCATTCCCGCCGCCATGCTGCGCCGCGCCAGAGACGGAGGCGGAGAGGCTCCACGGCGGGTGCGGCAGCGGCCGATCAGCGGCAGCGCTTGTCGGGTGGCACAGCCCAGGTTCAGGCGAGGCGAGCGGGTCGTGTACGTGCGTGAGGGCAGCTTCGCTGCTTCAGCCATCGTGCAGCAGGTCCATACCGACGACCCGGGCGAGATCTACTACACGATCCTGCTAAACGGCGCCGAGCGGCAGACGCCCGAAGGCAGGCTGCGACCAGAGACTGTAGAGCTGAGCTCTTCAGACGAGGACGAGGTTGTGGTGACGCGCTCCGTCAGCCGCGAGCAGCGGGACCGCGAGGCGCGCGCCAACGCCATCGACCTCGACGCGGCGGCGACGCAAGAGGCGGCCAGCCCGCGCTCCGCAGGCGGTGGCAGCCGTGGCGGTGGTAGTGGCGGCGGTGGCAGTGGCGGCAGCCGTGGCGGTGGTAGCGGCGGCGGCGGCGGCGGCGGCGGCGGCGGCGGCGGTAGCCGTGGCAGCGGCGGCAGCGCTTTCTCCGCTCCTCGCACAGTGAGCAGAGGAGCAGTAGCACACACGGCTGCCTCCGCCTCCGCCACCTCCGCCGCCTCAGCCGCCTCCGCCGCCTCCGCTGTCTCCGCCGCCTCGGCAGCCTCGGATGCGGCGCACGCGGTGATGGGCTTGGGCGAGCTCCTGCACGGGGTCGACTCGCTGCTGGCGAAGGCGGCCCCGCCTTCTACGCCGCGATCCCGTCTGATTGATACATCGTTGATTGGTGGGTGATGACCGACTGCCTAGGCGGCCGCCTTTTGCGAGGCGCACGACGTGGACGCGGCGCCGCAGATCGTGCAGGCGAGCCTATTCGTTCATTCATCAATCAATCAATCGACGCTTGTCTGTCGGCCACTGTCCGTCTCACACGCCTGTCGCAGCAAGAATGCGGCTCCACACGCGCACACACGCGGCGCGCGATCGGCTCGGGGAAGCCGCCCACACGAGGCGTCGCCGTCACCGGGTCCGAAACTGCTAGACACACACTCAGAGCAGCTCGTGAGGTGGCGCGCTTGCAGCAGGCGAGGCTGCAGGAGCGCTTCTTGGCAGCGTGCAGCGTGGTGCGGGGCGGCGCCAAGGACATCATCTTGCGCGAGAACTTGCGCGCGCTCGAGGCGCGCTGCGCGCAGCCGGGCTGATACGTGTACGCTTGGGTTCATCCATCTCCATGCAACCGGCGCTGCCGAGCATCCAGCATCGCGGTCCGGGCGTGTCGCATGCTGCCTGACGCGTGACGCGGCCATGCGGTTTGTCGCCCCGGTGCTCCTGATACGTAATACAGTGAGAGTGCGTACCGTATTTACGAGTGGGCCCCCACCCCCCACGTAGTTTGCCTTTGAAAAATGGACAGAGATCAGAGTTGAAAAATGGACAGCGCGAGGCGCGCCGAGACCAATCATTTCTTTAGTTTACTGTTTTAATGTCAGAGTGCGTGTTGATCCCAGATCGCACGGGCGGGGACCTGTTCACTTTTTTACCAGTCTTACTTATTTTAAAGTGTTGATCCCATGTGTCGGGCATGCATCATGCAAACTCGTTCGGCGACCGATACGCGATAGCTTCAGGCGTCGAATTGCGCAAAGTGGCTTCGCTCTCATGCGCGATGGCAGCAGACGCACGCTCGGAGCAGTGGGCTCAAAACGGACGAGAGTTGGCCATTAGGCCACGCAAAACCTCCCCTTGCTTGTCCACGTCCGTGAGCTCATTCACCGTGCAGGCCTGCAGCCCGCTGAAAATGCCGCACACGTAGGGTGTGTCAGCACTGGCCTCCTGTTCGGGTCCTTCCATGCGCCACGCATGAGCCACTTCACGCGCCGGACTCCGATCGGCCCCATCGAGCCTGGGTAGTCACGCTCCTCCGACTTCACGAACTCCTCAGACAGCCACTCGTGAGTGTCGGTCGTGAGCACGCCCAGCGCGAACTCGGAAACGGGGCGGTCGCGTGTGATGACCAGGTTCCAGGTCGACATTGCGATGCCAGTGAGCATTTTCACGTACGGTGCTGTCATCCTGCTGTCATCTTCGGAGCCAACTCGCGCGGCGTTCCTTGAAGGCGTCCTCGTCGCCAGCCCGCCACGCGGCCTCAAGCCGAGCGTCGTTGTGAGTGTGCGGCTTGTTGGGGAGGGGGACGGCACATTGCGAAAGGGCTTCGACGAAGCTGAGCTTCCGGCTGTTTCCACCGAGCGACGACTCGTAGAGCTTGCCGGAGAGAGCATAATTGTGAAAGAGCCGGGGCTCAGTTTGCGCTTGCACGCCGGCCTCGAACGACAGCGCAGCTGCTATGCTTGCGGCACTGACGTCAGGCTCGTCAGGGTGAATCGGCAGTGCGCTGGGGGTGGCATTGAGCACCGGAAGCGGAGACTCGCTACCACCGCTCAGCCCGTCGCCAGGCAGCGTCGGCTCTTGTGGCTCCTTGAGCAAGTAGTCCGATACGTCATCTCTCATCTCGCCATCGTCATACTTCACCATCCACGTGCGCTCGCTCCGCTCCACGATCCGACCAAGCGCCCAGCCCTCTCTGAACTTAGCGCGGACACGGGCACCCTCTCTGAACTTAGCGCAGACGAAAGACCGCAGCCCGGCGAGGCCGCACCCTCCGTTCGTCGCCGTCTCGTCGGCCTGGCGCTGCACGCGCGTCGCGGACACCGCATGCGCAGCCGCCGGTTCGTCCGCGGGCTCCAACTTGACGACATGCTCGGTCGGAATCTGGGCCTTCCCTGGCCATGGCTGCACCGAAGGCTGCGCACTGCGGGCACGTCGTTGCCCACTTGTCCGCGCAGGTGACGTGGTACGGGTTTGCGGTGCAGTTGGTGCACTTCAGCGCAGGTGCGTGGCGGACTGAATTGCCACATGAGGCACTCGTACGAGCCGTCGTACGGCTCGAATTTTGGCGCCATAGCCGCCCGTCGGCGTTCCCGCCCCCTTCCTATAAGGCGCGTTTGATGGAGAGGAAAAGAAACCCCCTGGTTGTTTTATGACGAAAGAAGAAAAATGTTTAAAAATTAAGTGTTTCAAACTGTACTGGAGTACGTAGCGAGGGGGCCTGGGCGAGGGTGTGGCACGGCTAGCGCCCCGTCCACGAGGCGCAGAGCTGCATGCACCGCGGCGCGGGTGGTGCTCCCGCTCAGAGTAACAGCTCTACTCAGCCCAGGGCGCGGGTAGGTAGGCACTCTGATCTCTGTCCTTCTCCCATCCAAAGTTTTCTTTGGACTTTGCACTTCGTCGTGTTGCGGCAAACGCTAGAAGAAAGCTCCTTATCAGCTGGTCGGCCGCCATGTGGGCCTCCGGCGTCCGGGCCTGCTGCGGCGGCGCGGCCGGTTGAGGCCGGGCTCGGCCCGGCCCGCGACGGCTGGCCGCCGACGAGCGCGCTCGCGCTGCTCGTCAAAATGGCGGCGGTGTCGATTGCGGCGACGGTCGTTCAGTCGCTCAGCGCTCACAGGCGTCTGTCGTCTGTTGTCGCATTTCGCACACGCGCGCGCCGCGCGACCCGCGGAGGTCGCTCCGCGAGGGCATGAGCCTTCCGCGATTCGATCCCGCAGCCAAAAGCTGCTCGCTCGAACCACGGCCGACTCTGGACTGCCATCGCGGCTGCAGCTGTTGAGCTCTCCAGAAGACTGGTGCCTGATATGCTGCCTCCCTGCGGATGCTGCCGCGGCGAGCCTGGCGGTCCGCTGTACTACAAGGAAGTGCTGACTCGATGCCCCCCCCGCAATCTTCTACCCCCACGACTCGGAACGCGAATGTGACAGGACCATCGGGTCCTTCGGCCACCAAAGCGAGATCACCCGAGAGCAGCTGAGTCTGCCTCTGGCCTCGCCTCCCTCTCCTTCAGGCATTCGTGGCATCCTATGGGTCGTCCAGAGTATCTATCGACCTCTGGCGAGTCAGCCAGCCTCTCGCTGGCCTCTCCGCAAGGCCCCCCGACCGCGTCGAACTCAACGGCGCGGCGGCGCGGGCTCTCTCGGCTACGGGACCGGCCCCAGCTTCGGCTGAGGGCTGACAAGCTGCCGAGCCCAAATCACTGTGAGAGTCGTGATTTCTTGTTGGTTTTCAAAAATCTCTCTCTCTCAAACGCTAAGGGAGAGATGTGCCACTGTGCACTGACTGACTGTGTCTGTGAGGCAGCCCATGTGCTAGCCCATGTGGCGGACGGCATGCTCCATGCACTGGGCTCTGCCTCTGGGTGTTCATGGGGTCCCGTACCATGCGGAATCGACCCTATCCAGTGCTCAAGTGCTCAAGTGAGGGAGGACGCTGGATGGACAGCGGGCGCGACCTCATGAACCAGTTCACGAACAAGGGCTGGTGTGTGGTGTTGGCTCAGTACCGTACTGACATGCACATGCACATCCCACATCTGCACTTACTTGCAGCCCCTCGTGCGGAGCGAGTCCTCCTCGCAGGAGTCGCTTAGGCGGCTCCCGTGGTGTACCTGTGTCAGTGCCGGTGAATTCTTTTGTACACCGCTAGGATTGAGAGCAGCCTCGCTCTCAATCCTAGAAGTCGAAGGATTGTGAGCAGCACTCCTCGCATCGTAGCATCTCTGTACGATTGCTAGCACCCACGCTCGCAATCCTACATCTTCTAGGACTAAGAGCAGCTCCGCTCCCAAGGTGACTGGTGACGCCTACGACTACTACCAGCGCGCTCGCAATCCGAGCAAAGTCTAGGATTGCGAGCAGCTTTGCTCACAATCCGAGCAACATGCCTCCGATTGCGAGCAGTAGCGCTCGCAATCCTACATCTTGTAGGACTATGAGCGGCGGCGCTCACAATCGTACCCAAGATCCAAGGACTGCTAGTTGGCTAGCAGGCGCACAGAGGGCGCTCCCAATCGCTCCAGCCGCGAGCGCTTGTGAGTGAGCGCGCTGGGAGGGTCTCCTCACAATCCAAACAGTGATCGCACCGATTGCGAGGGGACCCGCTCGCAATCCTAGAAGTCGTAGGACTGTGGGCGGTGTCGCTCGCAATCGGCGAAAGTTCTAGGATTGCGAGCGCTCCTGCTCGCAACCGGAGGCATGTTGCTAGGATTGTGAGCCAAGCTGCTCGCAACCCTAGAGTTTGCTCGGACGGATTGTGAGCGCGCTGGTAGTAGTCGTAGGCGTCACCAGTCACCTTGTGAGCGGAGCTGCTCTTATTCCTAGAAGATGTAGGATTGCGAGCGTGGGTGCCAGGAGTGCTGCTCACAATCCTTCGACTTCTAGGATTGAGAGCGAGGCTGCTCTCAATCCTAGCGGTCTACAAAAGAAGGTTCACCGGCAGAAAGAAAGAAAACAGGCCGCCCAAGGGAGGGATGGGAGGACGGCACGCCGCCACCACACAGGGCCACGCCGAAATTCTTTTTTGCGGCCGACTGCAAACATCACGTGTTGGGCGCCCCATTCCGTTTAGGGCTAGGTCGGCTCAGGCCCCGTCCACTTCCCTCCCCATTTTTTTTTAACGAAAGGCCAGCACATCAAAGAATTTTAGCAGAAACCTCTCACGACACACATACACACACACTGGGCACGGAACTGAAATGGGGAAGGAAAACGAGCCGAGTAATCTGCGAGGAAAATTTGTTCGATCCGAGTGATCTACAATCCTAAAATTTTGTTCGATTCCGAGTAATCTGTGCTCGCCGAGTGATCTGTGAAAACCAACTTCAGATTTGCCGCAAAATTCTTTTTTGGGGCCGACTGCGGGGGGCAAAACATCACAGACTGGGGCCCCCCAGGGGGCATGCGGCATGCGGCATGCCGCTTGGCACTCCCGGTCCTCCTCGCTGGGCTGCTTGGGGGGGCGGGGCCGCGTGCGGCACTCGCGCGGAAGCGGGGGGAGGCGTCCGTCCCGCAGCGCGCGCCCGACCTCGCGGATCAGCCTCCGTCGGACTCGCTCTCTCTCCGGTTTGAGGGGACGGACTTTGAGGTGAGCCGACACTTCTGCGGCACCTCCGAGACGCTGCGCGACGCTCTCGGCCTGCTGCCAGCGCGGCCCTAGCAGCACACCCTTCAATCGCTTCCCTCCTCGCCGCCGCCACCGCCTCCTCCCCTGCCCGCCCGCCGCCTGCAGTTTGGAAAGCGGCCGCTGTGTGAGGCGGTGTTTGCGCGGACGGAGATGCTCAACGCGGGGAGCGTCGACCTCGAGGTCCTCTCCGTCTCCACCGACAACGTCCACTTCCACGGCCCTCAATTCAAGCCGATCACCCTCTCGCCTGGAGCGCGCGTCAACATCTCCGTCCTCTTCCTCCCTCGGCTGCTGGGGCCGGTGAACAGCACGATGCGCGTCTCCACGTCGACCGGCGTCTACGTCCGCACCATGACCGGCCACGGCGTCGAGTCCCCGTACCGCGTCGCTCCACTCCTCGGGGTGAGCGCACTTGCCTCGCAGCACTTTCGCTCGCCGTGCCGCAGTTTCTCGTCCTGCAGTGCCACACAGACTGCTCCTGCTGACGCCCGCACGGGGCGTACCGCTGCGGTCTCGCACGGAAGGAGGGAAGGAGGGGGCACACAGGAGGAGGGAGGGTGGTGGCATGAGGGTGATCTGTGCCGTCCCACACCACATCACATCACACACACACACACACACCTGGTCCTCGCTGCCGCACACCCGCTCTCGCCGCGCCGCCACCGCAACCACACCCCGCGGCCCTGCAGCCTCCGCCTGCTGCGCCGCAGGTCCGTGTGCCCGTCGAGGCGTCCTTCCGCCCTCCGATCCGAATCTTCAACCCGCACGTGGCAGAGCACCTCGCCGTCAAGGAGATCTACACCTCCGAGTCCTTCATGCACCTCGCCATGCCGGACGGCGACGACGGGCAGCGCCGCAACTCGCCCGACACCGCCGCGCCTGCGCCCCTCCCTGCTGACGCCCTCCCCCCCCCGGCCCCCTGTTTCCCAGGCACTTCTCGCCCGACGCGCAGAAGCGGTGGCGCGTCCCGCCGGGCGAGGCTCGCGAGATGAGCCGAGATGAGCCGAGATCCGGGCGAGGCTCGCGAGATGAGCCGAGAGGAGCCGAGAGGAGCCGAGAGGAGCCGAGAGGAGCCGAGAGGAGCCGAGATGAGCCGAGATGAGCCGAGAGGAGCCGAGAGGAGCCGAGAGGAGCCGAGAGGAGCCGAGAGGAGCCGAGAGGAGCCGAGATGAGCCGAGATGAGCGCCCCGCCGGGCGAGGCTCGCGCCTCCCCCCAGCCTCCGCCCGAAGCATGGGTGGAGTGACGGTTGGAGGTCGACCTCAGGCGCGGGTCCCCATATCTCCCCCACATCTCCCCCATATCTCCCCCACATCTCCCCCATATCTCCCCCCTATCTCGTCCATATCTCCCCCCTATCTCCCCCCTATCTCGTCCTCAGGCGCGCGTCCTCGCCCGCGTCGTGTTCCGCGCCTCCTCCTCCGGCAACCGCACTGGAGGGGCACGTGCGCACGCTCTTCCCTACGCCGCCTCGGAGCCGCCTCGGAGCCCTCCCCCTGTAGGCACGTACTGGGGGTACGTGCACGTGCGGTCCGAAAAGGCGCGCGACCGCACGCCCCCGACCTGCACACGCCCCGACCAGACGCCTGGCGCTGCCCAGGCGCTGCCCAGGGAGGGGCGAGGCTGAGCAGCAGCGGCCTGTGCCTGCAGGTCGCCCTCACGATCCCGATGGAGGTGGTTGTCGCGCGCGGCGGACTGCACCACGAGCGGCGAGAGCTCTCCTTCGGCACTCTCACTTCGCGCTCCTCGCCCGCCACTCTGCCGGTGACGGTGACGTCATACACCGAGGCGCGTCGAGAGGACCCGAGATTGCCCGAGATTGCACCGCGGCGCCCCTCGTCCTGTGCAGCAATCTCCGTGCAGCTCGAGCCGTATCTCGGCCACATCTCCGGCTCCCCCTCCCCCTCTCCTCCCCGGCCACTCAGGCGCCGCTCGTCGTCTCAAAGATCTTCGTCAAGCTCGAGAAGGGCGTGGAGGGCACCGAGCTCTTCCTCTCGGACGACAGCGGGATGGGTCGGGTCTTGCACCCTTCCATACCGCGCACCATCGCCACGATCCAGTGCGCGACAGCCGAGATCGCGCGAGATCGAGATTGCGCGAGATCGCACCGCCGCCACCGCCCAGTGAGGCGAGGGCGGCGTCCTCCTCCCCCAACGACGGGACACGAGTTGGGGGGCATGCGTTTGCTCGTTAGGGGCATGGGTTGGCTGGTTAGGTGCATTCCCGGCGGCGAGGGCGACTTTGTCGGCACCGTCTCCATCACCACCAATGCAACCGGCGGACGCGCGCGCCTCCCGACTCACCTGCCGTTGACAACGGATGACCAGTGATGAGCGGCACACCCTCTTCCTTCGCCAGGCGCGCGTCGTCCGCTCGACGTGACCATCGCCGGTACCGCACACTTCGGCACCCTCCGCGCCTCCTTTGACGCGCCCCCCATCCGCTCGTCGGACGGCGAGAAGAGGGAGCCCGCCGTCTTCCTCGCGGGAAGGAGCGACGGGGGAGTCCTCCTCCGCCGCCGAGGTGTGGACGGCGTCTCTTCACAGCTGCGGCTGTGAACAGGAGCGACGAGCGCGTCCTCTCCCTCACCCACTCCTTCTCCAGCCCGGTTCGGCTGCAGCACGCCGAGGCCTCGGACCCGTCCTTGACATGTCCACGACACGTCCATGACATGCACATGTGCATGTCCACGACACCCGTCCTCTTTGACAGGTCTCCGACCCGTCCTTCCGCGTCAAAGAGCTGCAGGAGGGCCTCGTGGTGCGGCCGGGCATGCCCACGACACGTCCATGACACGTCCACGACACGTCCCCGCAGGAGGACATCGTTGTGCAGCCGGGGTGGGCGCTCGAGAACGCGCTCTCGCTCGTCTTTGCGCCGAACGCCACCGCCACAAACTACGCCGCCGCGCTGCTGCTCGTCACAAACGTGACGTCCCCCGCCCGCGTCCCTCCCCCGCGCCGCTCGTGGTGGCGGAGGCCAACCCGCATCAACCCGCACCGCCAACTCGTGACGTGACAGGTGACGTCCACCAGCGTGCCGCTCGTGGTGACGGAGGGGAGGCTGCGCCACCTGGTCCACGCCTCCAAGCCAGACCCCGTCCTCTTCTCGCTCAACCCGCCCGC